TTTCCCGCTCCCAAAAAAATCAATGAACTGCAGAAATGGTCCCACATTGCAAGCTCTTTTCTCTAATAATCAGTTTCCCTGTTCAGCAAAACTCTAAAAGATGTTCTTCCATGTTCTCATGACCAGCGATACATCTTTCAAAAGAGCCCTTGCTCATTGTCAGCCACCATTCCCTACAGTGCAAAGAATATAATAAATTCAGAGCTTCAAACCAACTCTTCAGTAGCAAGAAAAACACACAAACCTCTGCCTTATTTACAAAACAGGTCCAGAACCCCATGCATGCACACTGCTATACACAAGGAGCCGGTGCCAACTCACAAAACACTTTCTTCCATGAAGCCTGGATAAAACATTGACAATCTACAGAAAACCCCTTTGTTAAGGAGATGACCAATCAAAAAGGGCCTACTGAAACACCGAACTATCAATTCATTTCAACTATTTTGCCCTTCATTTGCATGCCATGAAAAGCTTCAGTTAGCTTACTGCCAAGAGTAGTACATGTTCGAGTATGCTTGGAATATGTCACCATTTTAGGAATTCACATCTTAAAGTATTCTCAAAACTGAAAAATATTCTTATCTCCAGTTGGTTACAAAATACTCAAACATCAGAGAGCCAGTGTGGTATAGTGATTAAGAGTGCAGGACTGGGACTCAGACAATTTGGGTGAACCACAGAATCATACAGTTGGCGGAGGCCTAGAAGGCCATCAGGTTCAACCCTCTGCTCAATGCAGGACTCAAGCCTCCCCTCCAGATTCTAACCGGGGCTGACCCTGCTTAGCTGCCAAGCCTAGGCAGGATCAGACACTTCAGGCTATATCAGTTCTAGTCCCCACTCAGCCATGGAGCCAACTGGGTGACTTTGGGCCAGTCACAGACTCTCAGCACAAGACTCAGGAAGAGGAGAATCACTCCTGTGTTCTTTAACAGAAAAAGGCAGGGGATAAATCAAATAAATAATATAAAACAATCAAGTGTAAGTACCTCTTCAACCTCTTCATAATCTGCTTGCACAGTTGCTCCATAAGAATTTCTATATATTATAGAGCCACCCAATGGATGCTGGTTTGCATTGTGATGGTGTTGTTTCAAATTCCCAGACCCAAAGTTGCAAAATAGCTCAGATCGATGTTCAGGTCTCTTTCCTCCACCTACCTGGTGGAAAGAACCACACTGGCTGCTTCTCAGGATCCCCAGCAAAGGGATTTAGGGAGCAGAGTGGCAGGGGATTGGCACCAGCAATGTGTGATGCAGCCTCATGGCACCTCAGCTTCTTTCCCCACCATTCCTGACCACCCAGTGAGGAAGTCAAAATTAGCAGTCCAGCTGCTTGCAGAGCCAAAGTGTTGAGGGACGGTTCACCTCTGCATGCCTTTGACATGGCATAGGATGCCCATGATCCTCCCCCTTGGACAGCACCCTCATTTACTATAACCAATAAAGTGTCCATTGGTCTCTCAAGGACTGCAGCCCTACCGTAACTATGCATCACCATGGAAAGGAACTTTCTGTACAGGTTAACTCATAAGCAGCTTTCGTAATTCTTCAGTTTGGAATATACATGCAACTATGCAGAAATAGACTTGACTCCTCCTTTAATTATTGATTTATACATGTTCCCTCTGAACTTGACTGTGCTCTAGTTCTTTCATCTTTAGGCATAATAAAAGTGAAATTTTCCCTTCCCTTACCATTTTGAAGACTATATTCATAACTAATGAGATTTCTAGATTAAACCTGATGAGCAAATTGGTAAGGCTGGAATCCTAACTTTATTTGGAAATCCTACTGAAATCAATCGTGTTTAGTTACGTGTACTTTTCATAAACACGGTTAGGACTGTACTGAAAAGTGCAGAAGGTAGGGTATAGGAGAATAAGTTCTGCTCTTCACATCAAAACGTACCATCATTTATCTTTGGTTTCATCCATTGTGTTGCTACTTTCAATACATTTTAACACATGAAATTTACCAGACAATCTATCAATTTACATATACAGCCAGAAAAACGGTCACAAAAAGGAAATCATAACAAGCTTTACAACAGAACTTCTAAAGAACTGGGCATGGGGTGGGGGGGGATTTCCTCCTGCACAGGCTGCACCTTCATTCCCAGCAGCAGTGAAAATTTTGGAGCCGAAAGATAAGCATGCTTACACCAGTGGGCATTTATATGGCTGATACAATCATAGAATAGCAGAGTTGGAAGGGGCCAAGAAGGACACCAAGTTACACCATCCCACTCAGATGGCTCTCCAATTTCTTTTTGAGTGTCTCTAACGTGGGAGAGCCCACCACCTCTCCAGGTAGATGGGTTCCACTGCCCTATTGCTCTGACAGTGGGGAAACTTTTCCTGATATCTAGACTGAATCTGGGTTGTTGCAATTTGACCTACATTCTGATATGTATCTCAGACCAGCATTTGATTAATAGGATGCTTCCCAGCTGAATCAAGTTCTAAGTTTCTTCTAAAATTTACAAGGCAATAGAAATTATTCAAGGTCAAGCAACAAATCTACACCACTTAATCCACACATTAAAATGTGCACAGTGAGATACTATTATAGCTTCAAGGTTTCTCACCTCACACTACTCTTGATGATGCAGCAGTGACTAATGCAAACTATGACAAACCAAACCAGGTGGAATACTTTGGATAAAAAAGCAATCTGGGCCGGCTTCAAAAATATCTAACACATCACTTTAAACAATAAGAAACAAAAATTCAATATTGAAAGGAAGATCACTTATTTGCTGCTCCCCCCCCCAAAAAAAACTCCTACAGACATAAACTTCCACTTTAAAAGACACCAGTGGAACTGAATTCCAACTGGTCCTTCTCATGGATTATAACTACATCTCATCCTGTCATCACTGTCATTAAACTTGTTTATTTATTAGGTTTAGATCCTACCTTTCTTCTGTTTTAAGAAATTCAAAGTGGCTCACATCTCATAAGGGGACCTCAAAGGTGCCAAATGAATAATGAAGTTTAAATAATCTAACTGAAGTGCAACAGGCCTTTACAACTCCCCACAAATAGAAAAAGAAGCATGATTGGGAGAATCCAAGTTTGTTTGAAACAAAGAAACAAACAGAAAATGTTGTTATAAGCTAGAATAAACAAAGATATGCATCTGAAACAGTCTGAAAAACAAAATGGAAAGAAAATCTGATTACAATGCAGGGTCAATGCCCAACAGTTCAGATGGTTAAGTGCTGAAGATTTCACTGGGAATCTAAGATCCTTTTTATTTCCAGCTTCCAAGCTGGAACTTGTTCACAAGTGCTTCATTCTCCACAGCTAATTTGAACACCATAAGCAGCAAATACAGAGAAGGCACTGCCACACACATGGCTTATAACGGACGCCCTCCCTATCCTGATGCAAGCCCAGAGTGCAATGACCACGCAACTTGGCTGCACAAGCACACTCTGGAATACAACCACGTTCTTTCTCAGTCGTTCAGCCCTTGCCTACGTGCCCCAGCACAACTTTCCCACCCCTTCCAAAGCTGCAGAAATCTATTCACAACAGAGCAGCAAGCCATAAAATCATCCTCCTATTTCCCACTACGTTCAAGAAGAGACAGACTAATTACTAGATCTTCACCGTGCAAGGTGGCACGTTGACACCCAGGAAAAGCACAGTAGAGGCATCCCCTCCCCAAAATGAAATAAGCAGCCCAGTGAATGCGGGGAGGGGGGTGTTGCATGTCGCAAGGGGTGGAAGGTTAGTCAGAGACATGGGAGGCTAGTTGGTCAAAGGTTAATTGGTCTTTAGTGGGTCTAGCCTCCAGCTTCAGAAAAGTCATTATTACCCCATCCCAATAATTGACCATCCACCCTGCTTAACACCTCCTAATGAAAGAGCTGGTGGACAACAAAGGTTGCATCATGGGACTCCAGTACACATGCAGGCAAAGTCTACCTGCATCTGTTCAGAAGACCTAAGCATTATTTATTCATACACGTATTCATAAGGTCACCTATAACATAACACTCACTCCGGAGTGAACGCTGAAAAATCAGATCCGTGCGGAACTGGAAATAAGCTCCAGACACACGACGGAGTGGCACTGCCACAATCCAGGGCATGCAACTTGGACTTCAGCCCTTTTTTATGCTGGAGAACTTCAAACATATGTCAGGATGGGCTGGATCGGCATCTCTGTCTGGAGTCTCGTGAATCAAAACTCCACCGAGCGTCACCAACCTGCTCCCATCGAGATCCGCCAGAGCGCACACAGGTCCCTCAAGAAGCCCACCCCCTACCCTTGGGCATCCATGGAGGCTCTTAATCCATTGGAGGGTGGTATAAGCATGCCATCCTATAGCCTAAATCCGCATCTAGGATACAGAGAATTCCAGCTGCATGCCCATGAATGATCGCGCACAAGAGAGCTGAGCAGCGATCCATCGGCTCGACTCCGGCAAAAGCATCCAAGGGTGGCCAGCAGACCTGCCGATCCTGGGGTCCGCGGAGAGCAAAAAGCACCTCTGCAAACCAGAAGCGGCATGCCCAGCCGCCCGCCCGCCCTCGCCCCGACTGCAGACCCTGCCCCAGTCCTTCCGCGCGTCCACGCAGCAGGAAGCCCCCCTGGACAATGCAGAGCCCCGCCGGATGAGGCGAAAGGCCTATCTCGGGGGCAGGCAAAGCGGCGCCCTCCAGATGTTCCGGGAACTACAGCTCCCACAATTCCTAACCCCCGCCCCATGCCGACTGCAGCTAATGGGGGCTGTAGTCCCGCAACACCTGGAAGGAGCCAGGTGGCCCCTCCGGCCTATGCAGCGCAGCCTCCCGCTCGGCGCGGCTCCCCTCGCAGGCACCGCGCGCACCACCGCCTAGGGACGCCCCCGCGGAAGCGATCCGCCCCCTGCGATCCTGCGGGACTTGCTGCGGCCAGGCGCGCAAGATTGCGGCACCCGGCTCCCCGCCCGCCCGCCCGCGCGCGTCTGCCCGCAGCCCCCCGACGAGCGGGCGCGCTTACCTCCGGCTGCCGAGCAGGGCAGAGGCGGGGACGGTGCCGCCCAGCCCCTCCCCACGGAGCCAGACAACGCGGCCGCCCGGCAGCGCTTCCTCCGCCCGGTCGCCTCTCGCCGCGCGGCGCTCCCGGCAGCCGCTCCGCTCTCCGCTCGGCTCGGCTCTGCGCTGCTCCTCGCGTCAGCAGCGCCGCGTCCTCGCAGCGGCCGCCTCCGGGCAGCCCGCGCCGGCTCGCCCTTGCCTCATCGCCGCGCCGGAGCCCCCCGCGGGCGGGGGCGAGCGGGGGGCGGGGGCGTCCGCGCAACAAAAGCCGGGCGTGGAGGGAGGAGCGCGGCGGCGGCGGCGGCGGCGGCGCTGGCGCTCTGCGGCCTCGCTCGCCCGCTCGCTCACTCGCTTCCCGGCCCAGGCGCCGCGAGGCGGGGGACGCAGCAGGCAGCGCCGCAGCGGCACCCGCGACCGGCCGCCGCAGCGAGGCAGGGGCAGGGGCAGGGGCAGGGCTGGAGGCCAGGGCCCATGCGCGCTCCGCCGGCCCCGCCCCGGCCCCCTTCCGCGCGGACGGGGGCGGAGGGGCGATGGGGATGCGCGGCGCGGCGCGGGGAGGGAGCGCGCCCTGCTCTCCCGCCGAAGGGCGCGCGTCTCCGCAGGCGCGCCTACGGATGAAATAGGCACGGCATCGTTGCGCGGGGAGGCGCGCACACGCGCCTGTGCATGCCACGCACCGGACCCGACGTGCGCTCGGCGCGGCGGCGACAGAGCGGGCTGCAGCGCGCAGCACTTGGGGATGCTTGAATGCGCTCGCCTCCTGGATGCTGCAGGGACGCCCGACGCACGCAGCGGCTCGCCGTCTGCGCCGGTTCCCCGACCCCACGCATTCCGGCGCGCGCGGGATGCAGCCCGGGCTCCGTGCGCGTGTCCTTCGTCCAGGGCTAGTCCACCCCGAAAGCTTAGAGCACATCCTGGAGCACGTACTTCGGAGGCAACCTGTGTCTTCCGCTGGAGGAGGGGACAAAATTATATGTCATTGTAATGCCACAGGGTCATGGGAAATGCTTGGGAACACGAGACAAGGGGGAACATTTGTGTAGTACCAAAGTAGAGTTCGTTAGCGCAAACTTATGCCCACTTCGGTCACCCCGAGTTCAGATAGGCTTTACTCCCACACAATGTGTGCATAGGAAGACTATTGCATTTATATCTCACCATTTTTCCTTTCAACAAATACAAGGTGGCTTACATACAGAATCACAGAATGGTGGATTTGGAAGGGGCCGGAAGGCTATTCCAACCCCTTGCTCAGTGCAGGAGTTCCACTTAAATAATCCCGCTCAGATGGCTGTCTGAGCATCTTACATGCTTCTCTCAATCTTATCCTCATAACAACCACCCCGCGAGGTAGGCTGGGCTGAGAGACTGTGACTGGCTGAAAGTCACCCAATTACCTCCATGGCCGCATGGAGATTAGAACCTGGATCTCCCAAATCCAAGCGCAGTAGTCTTAATTAACCACAACACCAAGTACACTCGACTGGGAAAAGCCTTCACTAAACACGATGGGTTTAATGTACCATAAGTGCACAAAGAACGGTGTGAGTACTTGGAAGTCTCCCTGTGCTCAGTGCTATAAAGTGTGTTTAGGAATAAAGTGTGTTTAGGATTGCTGCCTCAGAAACTACAATAACTGGGAACTGAAAGAAATAGAAGTCAAGCAGTGCATCAGTAGTAAAGGGTTATAAAGCAATTGATCTTGGCAACTCTTAGGAAAAGAAGGGAGGCTGGAGTACCGAGGGTACAAACCTCGTCCTGAAAGCTTCCTCATTTACCCTTCCTCTGATCAGGCTTTCTTAGACAGGGTTGTGGCTGCAGCTGTGTGTTGCAGATTTTGTTTCCTGCTGCTGTTTCTTGCTTTTTAGAATGTTTGTTGTTCTTGCTGTTTTTGCTGCTGTTTTTATGATGTAACTTTTACTGTTGTGTGCCGTCTAGAGAAAGTAACTGTCCTAAAGGGTGGCCAGAATATTTTAAATAAATACAAATGCTTTCTCACAAGTGTGTAACACTGTGCTCAAGGGACTTTATTCACAGGGAAGTGAAAGCCACATCACTCATGCTGTCCAGTTGTGCACCAACAGAGCCCCAGATTCTATTCTCACTTTCAAACGTAAGTTACTGAAAAGTAACTGATGTGAAAAAGTAAAAAAATCCCAACAAAACCACTACTATTTATATGATTTGTCACCTTAAAAAAGGATCTGGGCGCAGGCTGACCTCTGATACACCACTCAAATGTGTAGATCATCCAAAACCAATGAGATGGGAGATCTTCATACTATGATAACTGCTTGTGCGAAGCAATTATTGAAACCATCCCATATGGAGCAGGGATATTATGCCTGCCTTTATGGAAAGCATACTAAGTAGCTTGTTTCATTAAGTAAATTGAACTGTGATCCTGATAAGTCACAATGTTTTCTGCGCACATGCAGATCCATAGTATTTGGAAATATTTCCATACATCTTTCTGGAAACTCTCTCCCAAAAGATGTTTTTTAGAATTGTTCTCCTGACACAGCACTTCACTGTTTCTGAACACTTGCTTTCTGGATGAGACTGGTATGTTTTCTCATTACGTACTCCATCAGCTCAACTCTCTCCTTCCCAGGCTGGACCTGTATCTCCAATGCCAGTCCCTGTGCAGCCATGGCTGACATCCATGACCTCTGAAACTTGACCTTTCCTGACCCGGAACATCTTGGCAGGAATTGAAGCACCACACAAAAGAAACCCTTTCTTGCAGCTATCTTGCTTGGTCAATGCTACAAAAAAGTTGCTATTTGAATGCTCACATCTTTTATTCTGTGATGAAAACTAGAGACACCAACAAAATCTCACGACATGAAGAAAACAAGACAAACATCTGTTTGAAGAATGCAAGGTTTTTGCAACTGCTTCAAACAGTGTGAAGATTCAGGAAATGGAGGCCATGAAGTCACCCTCTTTCTCCCACTTAATGTATTTCCCATAGTCTCAGGTCACTTTCCCACGTGCAGTTTTGCTTGTTTGTGTAAGCACAAGATGTGAAGAGTTCAGAAGGCAAGGGAAGCAATAAAATGTAGCACCCAGCTATATTTCTGACACAGTCCTGCTGGATCAGATGAGTGTGCTACATCTGGCATGAGAAAACTGCTTGTCGAAAAGTAAGGCAGTTCTGGCATTGTTTATCAAGGTACAGGCAACTTGTTCCACATCATTGGAACACCACTTTAAGAAGCAATTATTCTGCATCCTTTGCTTACACGTAATTATACCATGCATTTGAGCAGCGTGAAGCATAATCCTATACATACCTGCAGGGCAGGAAAACCAATCTCCATCTATGAAATAATAAACAGCATTTGAAAAAAGATTTTTAAGAGATTAGTTCATTCGGGGCACTTTCCTTGATGATGAGAAGATAGCAAACATATATATTTGCCCCAAGGAATTGGAAAGAAAAGTGCAAATATATACAGACCCCTTTGTTTAACTTCAGTAGTACTTAAGGCCATGAAGCAACCATTCTGAGAGATATGGAATAAAAGCGAATATGAAAAACAGGACAGCATAGGTTAGCTACTCAGACTGATAATATCTGAGAATACAGCTAGGTCTGTGAAACATGAAAAAGTAGCATATTCCTTTGAAACCAGAATGTTTGACAAAGACTTTAGGTGCTCAGCTCAATGTTATTCCTGTAAGCTACCCAAACATCTGTTATGCAGTGGCCTAAAAAGGGATTTTTAAAAAACCTTCAAAGTATTTGTGTCTTGCTGCTGTGACTAGTCAGTTACCCTTTGCAACCTGGAATTAAAAGTTGTTCAGCACTTCTCCCTTCAGCTTCACAATCATATACGATAGCAAAGAGCTTTTACAAAGGTCAGAAAGGGGAAATTTGTTCCATTTGTAAGACAGACCTGTATTTCCCATGTACCATTACAGCAGCAGAAGAAAATCATTTCTATTGTTCGGGTGCATCACTGAGGGCTTCATCCCATAGCTCTTTCAAGAGGCTTGACAAAAATGTGTGGCTTTCTTGGAAGCAGCGTATAAATCATTTGCTTGGTCTTGGACATGCGAGTGACTTGTCATCCTACTTCCATGACAAAATGGGTCAAGTATTCCAGAGAAGAGGAGGAGTGGGACCCTTGTCAAGTGAAGCCACTGAAGACACTTGGCCTGTTGCCTTCCCCCCATGCTCTCTCCTAAATGTTTCCCTGGGTGCCTGCATATGGAAAGGAATGAGTAGGGAGTCATGAGTGCCTCCGAAGTGTTCCCAGCCCCTGCACCTTCCTCCTGCCAATAAGTGAAAGGCAGCAAATTTTCATGACCAAAGGACTAGTCTGACCATTCCAGAGGACTTACTACTACTTGCAAACACAGAAGTGGTGTCTTGATTACCTTCTGCAGATGGATTTCTTAAGACACAATCCTACACATGTTTCTACAACATTCCTTAGGCGTGGCTGGCTGGTGGGTGCTGGAAGGAAGTTTATTGACCGATTGATTGATACATGTATTTATAAGCTGCCTATTGTAGGACTTTTTTCTGGCAAAACATACACAGAATTGCACCCTATAGGAATTTAGGGGACCTACAGCCATTGCCAGACAACCCAAAAAAACAGGCACACTGGAGGGATACAATTAAGACACAGGAGGAGAGCAGACAAATGTCTCATAAGTAAACGGGTTTTTGGCAAAAGGACTGGTCACATTGTTTCCTAATTGGATTAGCAGCATTATATCAGATAGGATCCCAGAGAGAGAGAGAGGGAGAGAGAGAGAGAGAGAGAGAGAGAGAGAGAGAACTTACAACATGGTATCTCAGGTAGAATTGGCAACATTGTACGCTGATCAGATTAGATCAGGATGTCTCTGTGAGCAAGTTCAGGCTGTTTGTGACTGTTTCCTGCCTGCCAGTTTAATCAGGGCAGAGCTTCAGTTCGGTCCACCCAGAGTCCACCCTGTGCCAGGTGGAAGGAATTGTGCCGCTGGCAACTGACCTGCAACTCTGTGCTTCACTGCAGAGTGTGGCTGC